TCTTCTTCAGACATCTCGAAAAAAAAAATATCTTTATTTATTTTTTGTTTCTTTGTTTGATAAAGTACGTCTCAGGAAACAATAGTAAACCCTCCATATAAAAATCATTGCCCGAAAGTTGGTAGAAATATATAAATTTTGCAGCAATCTGAGATTTTTATGATCTAAATAAAATTTCCCCATTTCTCTCAAAGATATTCTATTTTAAAATTAACAAAATTTATAAGAAAAAAACTTAAATTTCATATTATTTATTTTATAGTCCAACCGTAAAGCTCGTATAATGCTTTTCCACTTTCCCTTCAAAGAACTTTATAAATAAATTTAATGCTTTCCTTTCCTTCCTTTTCTTTTTTTTAATCGCAATAAATCCTGTGCCAACTTTCAACAGCGCTTTCCAGATAATATGAAGAGAAAACTCACTTTGCAGTCGTAATGCCAATTTCGTTTCTGCTGGTAAAGCCAAACAGAATGCAAAATGAAATCCGCTCTCAAGTCCGCTAAATTTGAAGGAGGAAACAGGCTTTTTCGCAATTTCACCGCCGTATGAATCAATTGCGGCGCTTTTCGGAGAACATTAATAATGCAAAATAATCCCAGGAAAAGTGAGGTTTGCGCTGGTGAGCATCAAAAGATTTTGGTCCTCGTTTTCCTGGCTAAATATTGAAGCAACGTAGAGTACAGAGATTGCTGGAAATGTTTTTGTTACTAAAAAGAAACTTATTACGTCAAAGAGACAAGCATTGTACAACATATTAATCGCTGCAATAATTGTAACACATTATTGTGGACTAATAATGATATAATTAAAGAGTTTGCAAACTATTAAGCACATCATCCTCTTCTGCTATTTTTTAAATTTTTAGTTCTCAAAAAAATTTAGTGAATGAGGGAAGTGAAATTTATATTAATTTGTTTAATTAGTATAATATTGAAAAACATTTTTAATTAAAAAGTATAACACCTTTGATCAATAATTAAAAAGCTTAATTATCTTCCTTTTTTTAAAGTATAATTTTACTTGCATTTCTTCAATTCCTATCTTAAATTCCATTTCTGTATCATTATTTTTTAGCTACTGACCACGAGTTGCGATGTAATCATAGATTGCTTGTTCGCGGTCAAATTATCGGGAATTCTATTTGCTTCTGAGCATCGCCAGGTAAACTAGTTAGCGAAATTAATTTCCTGCTTCGAGATCAAACGCATGCTTGCGTATATATTACATATTCAATGCACGCATCCTCCCTCCCTCATCAAATTAATAAGACGCCGCAATTTTCTGCACGCAGCGTGGCAGCTTTTATGCGCCAGCAGAGCCGCGGATTACGCAATCGGCTTATTCTGTTATCCGCGAGAAATTTATTCAAACAAGCGTTCGTTTTTGTTGCTGAAAAGACGTCGTCGGAATTGAGTTGCAGGCGTGCAGCTTTTGTGTTGCTATGACGAGCCAGACCCATTGCCCTTTATTATTTTGCTCCGTCTCAAGTCTTATTTTATTTCCACTATCTCGCGCTTCTGTTGCTCTGGCAACACGCGAGCAAATTCGATGGAATAATAATTCCAAGAATAAGGAAGATGTGAAAATCGATCGGCTCAAATAGAAATGGCTCAAAATAGAAATAAGTCAAATGTTGAAAACATTTTTACTGTTGCTATACTCTCCAAAAAAAGTTATCTTTCGTAATAATGAAACATTGAACAAAATTAAAAACGATGATCTGAATATATTTGTTAAAAGTGTTCAGTTTTTTTTCTCTTTTGATTCTTATGAAAGAAAAATATTCAATTGATGATACTAGTTAAGAAGTAATTTTTTTCTTAGCATATAATTATATATTTTCTTGAAGGTTTTTACGAAATTTGTAACAAATATTGTCTGGAAGAATGGTCAATCAGATGTTAAAAATATAAAAGATCTTTAAAAATAATTAAGAGTAATTTTAAAAGCCTAAAAACGATCAAAAAGATTTTAATATACATGATATGCATCTCCTGAAAAAGGAAAACTAATATTTTAAATCAGGATAACTTTAATTATTTAAATTGTTTTCTTAATTTGAAACTTGCTTTTAACATTACAAAAGGTGTAATATTTATTTTTACCACCAAATAAACTGCGCGTTTTTTAAACGGACCTTAAAGTCAAAGCGCCTATTTTCAATCTTGACCTTACAATTGAGAAAACCCACTTTTTAGTATCAGGCAACCCCAATTTTCTTTACGACCTTTCGCCTTTCTTTTTTTCCCGCCGCCGGAAAAGCAATTTCATTTGCATTACAGCGTCCTCTTCTCCCCATCAAAGCGAATTCCCTGTCCTCAGAGCTAGATGAGAAGCGTATACGTCTTGCCGGTATAGGAATCCCGTGTGTAGCAGGCAGTCTTGCCAGTTTGACACACACGGCAAACATGGGAGAAAGAGGGATTTGCCCCGGGACGCGCGCACACTTGGCGCGGCTCGTGTTTCATGGAAATGCATAGAACACGTTAAGCCCACCAGTCTCTTGTCACGCCACTGAAAACACAAACACCCGACGACGACGAGATCGTTTTCACAAAATTTTGAGCAGTTGTGTGTCGCGAGTAATGGCAAAAGTTGGCCGTTCCACCCCTTATCGTCTCGCACCTGATGCTTTTTAATTATACAAAGAAGTTTCGCCCGTTTTGCCTCTCAACAGATGGAAACCCGAGGCTCAAGGTAAATTGAACTGCTGCCGAATGACACTTTGGTAGGAGGTCGTTGGCAATGAAGGGCCTCGAACTGCCATTGAAAGTTTGGCCTTAAATAACAACAAGCTGTTGACATCACATAGCAAGAGTTTGACCTTTCACGCTTTCGACTTCCAGGGTTAATAAAATTAAAATGATATTCAGAAGTCATTTTCGGAACCAAAATTCTACATAATTTTACAATTCAGAATTTGGCAACTCATATTGATTGTTCAAAATAAAATTTAAAAGACGTATAATTTTTTTATTAAATTTGAATTAGAAGAGGAATGGCATACATTGATAATCAGAATGCTTTTTCGTCGGAGTTTATTTGTTTTTAAATCTAAGAGGCTTATTTATCAACTTTAATTGCTTATTTTTATGAATAAATATTTAGAAGGTTTCCAGGTTAGCGTCTATTTTAACAATGGCATAATAACATGGCATTCTGGGACGAGGAAAATAATATTCAAAAATTTGTTCCGGCTTTTATGTAGATTCTCATCAGTCAACTCTCTTGTTTTGAATTTCAAATTCGCAGTGATATTATGTGTTGCGCACAAAGCAGATGGAAAACCAGGCTTGATGAATGACACGTCAGCAGCAACCTTTCCACACACAACAATAACCACCCCACAAAAAATATGGGCGTGTGTGATTTATAATTTTTTCGCTCTGCCCAACCGTGAAAAATCCACGCTAGTTTTCAAAAGACTGGTAATTTGTTCAAAGCATTGCACAATTTCCGTTCCACCCGAGAATAATCTGGTAGTTTCGTGCAGGTGAGGCGAAGCTGTACAAAATTAATTATGCTTCGGCAGTCATTTAAATTATAGCGGCATACGTGATGAATGCAAACGTAGTCGACTGAAATTCACAATTTCCATGTTAATCCACCAACAGCGATAAGTGGACGCAGAAAGGAGCCGTGCGGGCAAAAGCATCAATCGACTCTGCCCGGAACAGCGCATTTGTTAGCGTGGTTATGCAACCGGTGCGACAAATGTGGCCAGCCGGTTGCGTAGCTACGAAAAGGGCGTAATGGCTGCTGCTCGCAGCGTTCTTTGCCTGCTTTTGTTGCGGTTGCTGCGATTTTTGCTCTTTTTAATAAGGGAGAGAGGTATTTAGTGTGCTGCGAAATCTCACGCAAATGTCAGAGGTCGACCGCTCGTTAATTTAATGCATGTCGTTTTGCGGGTTGCTTCAAAGGAGATGTTTCAAATGTCAACCATGCCCTCCTGCAATTAACGTTTTTTGTGGCAATTAAAACTAAATATATATAAAATTCAATTATTAAAGAAGTCTGTAGAAAATAAAGAATATGTGAAAAAAAATTAAAGCATTATCTATTAAGTTTCAAGTTCATAATAATATACATTTTTCAAAATTCTAATAGAATTAAATAAAAAATTTAAACCACTTTTAACTTTATGTCATTATTTTATGTGTGAAAACTCTTTTTCATATTAAATGGTTAAAACGCCTTTATAACTACCAAACGACTCATATTTTTAGCAGATTCTAACATAAAATTTTGATTCGTTTTTCTATAAATCCAGATTAATGTGCCAGATGTGCTAAGTCCGCAGACATTAAATGAGCGTCAAAATGCTATTTTGCCTATTTATCTCCGTTTTCAACTTTATTAACTTGTTTGTTTATTTTTTGTATCCAGAAATTAATGAGCGTATATGAATTAATTTGTTTTTGTGAACGTTTTCATTGGATAGGAAATTTCATGCATTAGAAACACAAAAACAAAAACGCAAGGGACCCTATATAATTAATATAAAACGGAATTTTGAAAACCAAATGGACGAGAAATACATTTTTTTTTCTATGAATTTTTCCAATATTTTTACAAACTATATCTTATACATTTTTAATTTCTGTTTTACTGATAACAGTTATTTAGGGTCAACAAACAATTTTCTCTAAAGTAAAGAAGAAAATAAAATCATAGATTTTCTTTTTCAAAATTATTTGATAAAGGAAAATAATTATTAAAGTTAAAACGTATGCATACTTTCCGCAAATTCCGATGTAAACAAGTATCAATTTAACAAGACCTTAACGAGATTAACGATTCTCTCTCATCTTTATATCAGCAATGTGAGAGAATTTGCCAGAGCGATATTAAGTTCGTGCTTTTCTGCGCGACTTAATAACAAGACAAAATTACAGGAGGAAACTTTTAACGAGCTCAAGAATGACTTCTGATTTCTCTAATGAAAATAACAAAGACGGAAGTTTTCATGATATCGAAATACAAAACTAAAAAAACTCACTTTGCCTCTGCCTGCTGAGCGTCAGATACGCCAGTCGGTGAATTAAGTAGCCAGCTCGTCTGAAACAAAGCAAAAAAATCCCAAATTAGACACTCTAACTCATTAGCAGAGGGTGGCGAGGGAGTAAGTAAGTCATTTTCTTTGCAGCCGCGGTGGCGTCGAAGCTGCTGTCCGGGAATTCATTAAACCGAGCTGGGGTTTCTCATTAAATCGTGCAAATGACTGATGCTGATTAACACTTTCGAGACTTCTTCTTTCCTCTCCGCGCGAGCAAATGTACATTCTTAATGAACACGGAGTTGCCGGCGACCCCCTCCGGCGACTCGGTGTTTTGTCGAACGAAAAGTTTCATTTGCATTTTCTGCTCAGCGAAAAGTAAGTCGTTTGAAATTATTATTATCGCTTTTAAGTAGAGAGTCAAAGCGAGCAAAAAGAGCGCAGCTCTTTCCTTTGAAGTCGTATCCCTTGAGCTGCAATGACAGATTTCCGTCCTTTGCCGAGAGCTCGGGTCCTGGCGAACACACACACACCCATCTATCCGATTTAAAGCCTGCACGAAAGCACTTCTATGAAATGTACGCCCTGTTTGCACAAACTTGTTGCTTTTTGCAAATTTGGTGCCCGCTCGCTGCTTGATTTCATTTGCATATTTTATTCGTGTTCAAATTTATTAGAGCGTGCTGTTTTCGAGGCTTCGTATATTTCACCGTAAGTTTTCTAAACATCATATGTACAATAATTTTTCACATAGATTTTTTTTTTTTAAATTTCCTCGTTAAAATTAGTCAATTAAAACTGAAAGCGTTTTTAATTGCTTACAATTAGTCGCTCTTTATCAAACTATATGTTAATAAACTCTTTTACTTTACAAAGAAAATTTTTTTAATTCGTCTTTTAACTTGTATGCAGTTTACAATAAATACAATGACAGATTGGTTTTAGCAACATAATTCTAATTTTAATGATGGAGAAAATTTCAGCTAAGCATTATAATGTGGTTTGACATTGCAAGAAACTAAACTAAAAATTTGATTTGCGATTTTATGGAAAATCCATCTCATTTCTTCTAAATATGCTGATCAACTTGCATAAAATTAAGGACTTAAAAATTAAGATCAAATAATTATTATCTATAAATACTATTTTTAAATTATAATTAATATAATATTTTTGAAAAAAAAAAATGCAATCAGATAATACAAAACCAAGATGCGACAATGCTGGAAGTTTGAAAAAGATCCTAATTAAAATACGTCTTGGCATAAAGTAAACACGGACCACACGATTTGCAGCCTCGAAGGAAGATGGAGAGGAGCAGACGATGTGGTGGGTGGCAATAATTGTTCAAAGTTGGACGGCTCGTTGGCAAAATCGAGCGGGCCGGCGAAAGTCTGGCGGGTTGATGTGCTCTCGCGAGCGGGAGAGTGTATCTGAAAGTTTGGCTGGATGCTCTCCCGCCGTTTCAAATATCCCAGGCATGAATAGGAAGAGAGCCACGCCAACTTTCCTTCTTGTTCGACGTGTTTGCCGTGCACACACACAAAAATCGCCCATTAAACTATAGCATAAAAGAGCCAACTTTTTCCCCAAAGCCCTCGCTCCTAAAAAAGAGAAGAGTGTCGTATGAATCTTGACTGGAGGAGGAAAATGTCGCGAATACTTCACAAAGTCACAGCAACTTCCTTCGCAATTATATTTAATTATATAAGCCAAGTTTCTCAAAATTTTTAATCTGTAAAAAATCTCTTTGTTTGAACTTAATTTTTTTTCAATTCATTTAATTAAATTGGAAAGAAGGGATGTACTAAATAAAAAAAGATTATTTGTAAAAAGCTCAGTTGAATTCAGTAAAGAGAGAAATCATCTTGACCACATGCATAGGTTTCCTTGAAGAAAAACTGATGCCTCTGGCTTTACCTGGAATGCTAATTTTTTTAAAGGAGAATAGTTAATTAGTTAGTAAAAATTGTTTTAATCTATTTATTTTCGATGAAAGTGACTAAAACTGTCTATATTAAATGCTTTTTTACTTTTCACATTTCAAAAGTAGCTTTCTTTTAGAATTTTTCAAGGCTTCTTTTTAAATCTACCAATGTAAGTGTCCCAGTTAAATCAAATTTGGGCCTTAAAAAAATACGAAACAAATAATTTTTGGCAATTTGGTGATTGTTATAGAGATTGAATTTCCACTATTAATGAAATTTATAACTTAGGTTTTTTTCATTTTTTTCAGTTTACTGAAACTTAATATGTGCTCAAGTTTTTCTTCTATATTGAATTGGCTTCTTAGAATTTTATTTTACGTCGACCAAAGCACAAGCCCCTTTTTTCCTTTCATGCAAACTTTAGCAATTTCCTTATGTACCCTTCGCAGTGTATGTATTTTTTCTAAAATTTATGTGACGTCTGTGGTGTGGTGCCCCATTTGCATTTGTGTCAGAGCAGCCCTTTTCTTTTCTCGGATCCGGCGACACAGTTGACTTTTCCAATATATTCAGCGCGAAAAAAATCTCGCTCGTATATTAAAATAAAATCGCGGATACAAAAGACAACCGGCAACACTCGCGAAATTGAAAGCTTGCACTTTTGCACAAAACAAAAATGGATGAAAGCGGAGAGTAAAAGCAGGTGTGTGAGTTGCTCGGCGAGAGAAATAAAGTAAAGAGAGCGAGTCAATCCATTAGAATGCATTTGAGCACTCGGGAACAATAGGTGCCGAAAAAGAGAGCTCGTATATACACACGAAGCTCCATTTGGCCTTTTTTCTCAGAGCGATCGCAAGAGAAACGGGCGCGTCGGGCGAAGAAAAAAAATAAACACGAAAAGAAGCAAGCAAGCAGACCTGCACGTTAGAGAACATATTTTCCCTGGCCGCATTCCAAGCTGGCGCAGGCTCGATTAACTCGTGGAGAGCTTCGCTCGCTCTTTTCCTCCCTTCTGCTAATTTTTCCATCCATTCGGCTCCGCGCAATAAATTTCGACCCGCACACGCTATTGCACAGCAGCTCCTTTTGTGGTTCGTGAGAAGGTCCTGTTCGCAGCTTGTTGGAGGGGAAAACGAGCATTCACGATGGTTTTGATTAGCAGGGCATCTGGATTCACGGTTTCAACAGCGCCGAACGTCCGGAGAATCACGAGCTCATCTCACCTTGTGCTAGTTTCTGACAAAATTTATATTTTGTTTTCGTTTTTCGAAGTTAATGACTGTCAGATTTGGTTTATTAATTAAACAGAAGACCTTAAAAGATGGAGTGCAAGAAGCCAACACGATTATTATTATTAAATTCCTTTTTAATATAATTGCACGAGTGTTATAAAAATTTGATAATTTTGTTTAAATCCAAAATTAGATTTTATAATTAAATTAAACTTCATAAGATAAAAAACTATGCAAATAAACAATTGAAAGAATAAAAAATATAAATAATATATCAACCTTTGCGCGCGTAAAAAAACCAATTGCTAAAAAAAAAACTCATAACCAGGGGCCTGTATTAGTAAAATTAGTATATTTGTGGCGTGGACTTATCAATAACTTACGAGCAGGATATTTTTAATATGGCATGAAATGAAGCATCAGTGTAATTTTGTTACAGACCTTGTTGATAATAATGATAATAAATTACTTACAAATTTAATTGACATAGAATTGAGTGGATCAAGGAAATTAATCCATATTTTATTTTTCTTTTCTTGCATGCAAAATTGAAAGCGTCTTTTTTCGTATTGAAAAGAATTATGACAAAAAGTTCTGTTAAAGTCCCGAAACATATACAAAACGTCTCGTCTCGTCGCTAACCAAATCGTCCAATTACAACCTTTGCAAAATCTTTGTGCTGCTTTTAATGTCACTGAGTCGAACGCGAATCAAAGAAAAGTTTTTTCACCGCCATTCACCCGCGAACCCGTTCTGCCTGAATGGAGCGAACGTCCAATCGATTTCGCATCTCTGCAAATGAGCGCGTCCCATTCTTTTCCTTCTCAACGGCGCCTCTCATTATTATTGTCACAGTCACTGCTCAAAAATATAAAAAATATAAAAAGTCTGCAATCCGAACCCATCAGAGCCGCGTGTCGATTGTTCCACACTTTTCTCCGCGCCTTTCGTTTGAATTAATAATATATACCCGGCTGCAACTCTCATCCGAGAGGGCCTATGTATGTGCAGCTGCGATCGATACGTACGGTTCGATTTTTGCTCTTCACCTTGTGGCGTCGCCGCGTCCCCTTGTATATTCTTTTTATCACGCGGCGGATGAGGCTAAAGAAGAGGGAAAAAACTGAAAGGGTGAGGCGATGGCGAATTATTGCGCGTGTCGACCTGCAGGGAATTCGTTACTGTTTAGTTTTTTGGCTCACAAACTTGTTGAGCCTTAATTTATTGCTATTCCAAAAGGTATGCAAAAAATATAAGTCTTGTCTCACTCTCAAGTAAGGCTTATTTCTCTTGGCAGAGAATATCCATCATTAATATAAACAGAAGAACAAACAATTTTACAAATTACGATTTTTTAGCGACTTGAAGTGAAAATTTGATTGTTCTCAATAAATAAGTTGGCTGTAATAAAAAAATAAAGAACTGTCTTAACAATTTCAGACACTTTTGACAACTCAAAAGCAAGGAAAAAGAAAAATTAAACGAAACAGCAAATCAATAATTGAAAAGCGAAATAATCGAAGTAAAACTTTAATCAGTTTAGTTTTAAATTAAAATAATATACCATTTTTAACTAAGAGAAGCCCATTTTCCACTCTCTGTGATTTTGATTTGAAATTTTTAGTTAATACATAAAAACAAAATCGTTATTGAATTTACACGGAAAAATGAATTAAAAAAAAATTCGTAGAAGTCTCGGGCATTACAATTAATTGATACAGTATTTTACCATCTATTTAAATTAATTTTTTCCATAACTTTTTATGAAATATCAATATCATTGATCAATGGTTTAATTTTAATAAAAAGAAACAAGCATTTTCAACTAATCAAGTTATAACTAAATTATTAATTTTTCTACATTTTATAATTAATTATTTGGTCTATGCCTTTTGCATTTAG